AAGGTGCTAGATACCTTAAAGGGTCTGTTGGCTCTTTTGAAGTTTGTGGACGGAGACGGCCCCACGATCAGCAAGATATATGGCCGCATAGAGACGTTGGTGGGGAAGTTGAGAGAGAGCAAGATGTTCGCGGAGGTGGAGAAGGATGAGTTGGAGACCATCATCATGCGGCGATGGAATGTCATGACATCTCCATTGCATTGTGCAACGATGTTTTTGGATCATGAGTACAAAGTCAGCAAGCCGGAGCAGGATATGGAGGTTGCATACGGGTTTTGGATGTGGGTCTACTTTTGGTGCAAGCCAGCGATGTACAAGGAGGTGGATGATCATGTGAACAATTGGATCGAGTGGCGTCGGCAAATTCAGGTCGGAGAAGGCGACGCAAGAAGCTGGAGGGATGCAACCTGCACGATGGTGGAAGAAATGGTGCAGCGAGTTGCCCCAACTCCATTGGCAAATGCAAGCAATCGGTTGATCGACCAGGGATCCTCCTCCTCCAGTTGTGAATGGAATTGGAGCCTCTTCAAGCGCATCCATTCTCGCCCGTGAAACAAGCCTGAAACGGTGAAGCTCGGCACGTTGGTGTACAACAGATGGAATCGGCATATGTTGAAGAAGTTGATGAAGAAGCCCAAGGCACGAGAGGATGAGTTTTTGTGGGAGGAGGATTTGGACCTCGAGAAGAAGGAGGTCCAAGCGCATGCGAACATGCGTGTGGAGGAGTGGCGGTCTCGTTTACAAGAGGAGAATAGGAGACGGGAATGCGATGATGAGGCGGAGGAGGACAACAGCGAGGTGGACGATGATGAGACGCGTTTAAGGAGAGGAAAGCAATGGAGAAGAAGGATAAATGATGCGCACGAGGATCCAGGGCAGCTTGAGCGAGAGCTCAACGATTCTTGGCAGAAATCGACGAAGGCGTCCAAGTATTTGGCTCGCCTGCATTTGGGGGAGTTGCAGGAGGCGGCGAAAACCATGAACGAGGCACATGTTGTGGAGGAGGGGGTTGCAATGGAGGAGAGTTGTGGGGCCAATGGAAATGTTGTCGAGGGAGAATACTGAGATTCCCAAGAACACCCCGCTGCTGCCGCACCCGAATCGATGAAACGCAAGTCGAGTAGACCACGGAAGGCCGTGGAGGAGAAGACCGCTGAATGGCGGAGAGCAGTGGGGCTGACAAATAGTGCGAATGGGAACGACTTTGATTCAAAAGAAGAGACTCTTGCACGCAAGAAACGCAAACATTCTGAGTCGTCAGACTGAGACGGGATACTTGGGGGCTGGAGCGGGTGTGGGACTTATCTGTGTTAATCTCTGAAGTCCGAACGGTTCAAGATTCAGAAACTTCAGATCATTAAATCATTATCTCACGCTTTCTCCGAAGTCCGAATGGTTCAAGATTCGGAGTTGTCAACTTTGAAGTTTGCACGCTAATATTTCCAATTTCATTAGCATTTGGGACCACTTCCGCAAACCTCTGTGTGTGTGGCGGGTTTTTTTTTTTTTTTTTTCGAACATCCGGACACTGATGCATCCAACCAGATTGTCCGTGTCCGTATGTCCAGTTATGTGTCTGGTGCTCATGTCCGGTTGTCCGGATGTCCGTGTCGGGGGCAACTATGATATATATATATATATATATATATGAAACTCCGACGAAACAGTTTGTCACAGCCCCTCGTTTGTTGTCCTCTTCTCCCTCTCTGCCTACGGTTTACCGGGCATTTCTACTTGACGATATATATATATATCGTCACAAATATATATATATATATGTATATATATATATATATATATATATATATATATATATATATATTCGGTTCATTTCGCGCCGCATTCGCATTTGCCCTCAAACGATCACCATTGTTCCAGATAGAAAGACCAGTTCATGAAGGCCCCTTCTCCGTACGGTCATTAAAAAAAAACAAAAAAAATTGAGGCAGAGCTGCTTTGATGTCCCTGAACCAACTCCTCAGGCCACTAATCATGTTGTATCCATTACGATTTAAACTCCTATTATCAAAATTAATATATGTTTAATAATAACTGTCACATGTGTGGACAATTCAGGGGCATACTCACACGAGGACTTCTTTCCTACTAAAATCCAGATGTGATTGCAGTCAGACACATCCATTCTCGCCGTAATTGCAGCCGGATACATCCATCCTCGCCGTAATCGCAGTCAGATACATTTGGGCAAGTGCTAATGTCAGTATGATCTCAGTCGTCCCCAAGGCACAAAGTTCATTTTTTGTCGTACGTCATTTGTCAAACTCACAGCTGGCAGCAACGACCAGTATGCCTCTGAAAACCGAGGGGATTCCTGAGAGAGAGAGAGAGAGAGAGAGAGAGAGAGAGAGAGAGAGAGAGAGAGAGAGAGAGAGAGAGAGAGAGAGTTTGCTGCACTTTCCAGATCCATTTTACTTTTGTTTGAACTCCGAACCCGTGCCTCAGAAGATCCTTAAAAATTGAAAAATATATATATATATAAAATAAAAATAAAAAAAATCCTAGGGGATCCTTACATTCGGCTTTCACGATTGCAATCTATGATCCTTGATCCACTGCTCAACATGCTGCATATTCAAGCACTGTCACAATGGACCAGATACGTTTGGACTGATCCAACGTTTGAATGTATCGGATCCATAACACACTCCACATATGTTTGGAATGTTGTTGTGCAGTGGAGTAAGGCCCTATCATCAAATTCCTCGTGTCCGACTTCTAGTTCAAACTTCAAAGTTCAAACCAGTCTATCTGACAGCCATGGCTTTAGTTCAAACTTCAAAGTTCAAACCAGTCTATCTGACAGCCATGGCTCTATTCTATGCCTAATCAGGGGCAAGGTCCCACTTGCACTGATTAAGAGATTCTGGCCGTTGATCTTTGCAATCTACGGTCAATATCGCTTAATTTGTGTAAGTGGGACCTAGCCCCAGGGTAGGGTTTAGACCCCTGGATCTTCTCAGGAATCGTACTGAGTCTCCGGAAAGTAATAACCTTGTTACAGTGCTGGATTTTTTTTATTTTTTTTTTATTTTTTTTTAAACAACCCGATCGTGTTACAGTACTAGATTAAAAAGGCTTGTTAAGTTGTTACTCCTTCGGAGAAAAAGAAAGAGGAAATTGTGGCTGTCTCACACTTTTACTTGGAAATAGGCAAGAAAAGACAAAGTCACTTTCGCGCTGTAGTCATTGCGGGAGTTTGAAAATGTGCAATTTTTAGCGTTGGCTTAAAACTGCACAAGCACAAGTAGCCCCTGTAGTGAATGCAATTTTAGGATTGCCTTTAAAAAATAAGAATAAAAAAAA